TAACTGCGATTGTTACCATGAAAACAACTGTGAAAAGTGTGACACTGCGACAGTCACTATAATTTTTACCATAGTATAGGGGTAATATATATCTCAGTTAAATTTATCTTGAAATGAATATAATTGTTACGATGAAGCAACTGTAAGCTTCGTTCAGCTAATAAAGTGAAGCTAGAATCACGTGGTACGGAGAAGGCCAGAGCAGAAGTTTGCTGCAGCTGCTTAACCTGCCAATCGCCACGTCTTACGTTGTTATATTAATAACCAGTGTTGATAATCAATAATCTGTGGGAAAATCATTACCACACGTTGGAACCACTTACTTACGTGTTTAGATTTATCGTTGCGATGTATATTTTATTTTAGATAAGCGCCAGTTCAAGTATTTCATTCAATGTAAAATAGCATTAATAGTGTTTGATTTTTATTTAGTAGGTTGCAAATGACGCTTGTTTTATGATGTAATAGCCTTACCTTATCAGTTGATTAAAAATTACAGTTGCTTCACGGTAAAATTTGTAGTCATTTCAAGACAAATTTTACTGGGATGAAAATAACCCCTACTAAAACTACGATAAAAATTGTATAGTAACTGTCACAGTGCCACACTTCCACAGTGACTTTCTCGGTAGAAATTACGGTTATTTTTTTCTCTGTGTATATTTTCATGAGTTCGAGACCCAGTCTTTACTCGCTTAGCTCGCATCTCTAGGAATACTAATTTTTCATGTGCGCATGTCCAACTGTGGTCCGTTGGTTTGGAAGCCATGTAAAATATTGGTCCCCGTTGCTGTGTAAGTAATTAATTTATAATAAATCTAAGGCGTTTTTTTACTACGCCAATGACGATAGCAAACATATACATGGAAACACAGCAGTGAAAGTGAAAAATTTCTAATAAAATTTACCTTTTAATGACAATAAAAGGTTAGGTAAGTTTAGAAGTATACAATTAACATTTTTTGAAGAATTTCTGAAGCCTTTGTACGGTGGCAATGAATTGTATGCTTATTAATGAATCGTTATCATATGTATATTATTACTATCAATATTATGTATGTAAATTATTATTATTATTATTATTATTTCTATGATGATAATTGTTTTGTACATTTTGCGCT